GTCTGCAGGGGTATTTGTGCTATGGAACTTCTTGGCGAAATATTGTATCCTCATGTCTTTATGTTTTCAGGTACGTGACCATGCAAACTATTTACTGGAAATGAGAGTTTCGTGGCTAAATATCAAACATGTGCTCTAAAAATTCAACATACATAGCCACTTATTTAAAAAATGGAAAGCTGAAAATAGCTTTAAGTCAGGCGAAAGGAAACCTTCAATTCCTCGGGCATCTGAGTAATCGTATGAACTGTAATTGAAAACTCCCTCATGCAATGTGACCTTGTTTGAATTAATTGGTTTTGGAATTAGTGCTCAATAGTTCAGTAAATGTGGAATTCTCTGAAGTTTAGTCCTTGCCAAGCAGAGGCTACTGCCTGAGAAAAGTAAAATGGACAAAAGACAGTTCCCTACTTCTCATATTTTTCAGTGGATTCTTTAGTAAACATGAATTTAGTAGAGCCACCTACTATGAATTAGATCAAAGGAAGAGCATATACAACTGATCTGACAGGTTTGCATTATGCTACATTTTCTAGAAAAATTAAGTCATAGTAAAGCAGTGTACTGGACAATTAAGGCTAGTAACTATACCCCGTGAAATCAGCAGTGCTTTATGTTAAGTTTTTCTCAAGATTGTCTGGAAATCCCTGAAGTGGGAGAAGTGATCTTGGACTACACTTAACATAGGACAGAAATCCAGGTGTCTTTATGTACCATGACTCAATTCCCATTGTACTGAAGTCCATAGTTAGGTATTTTTTTTCTGTTGTTAATTATTTCATTAAAAAAATACAGTTCTAGCCAAAATACATGAGTTACAGGAAAATATGAAGTAGTTTTAAGAAACTGAAAATTATGGTCCCTTTTATTCATCAGCCTAAAAGCAGAAGAACTTGAGGTCAGTCACTCAGTGCTTGTTTCTGGAGAAGGATTTTGTACCTCTGACTGGAGTGTTTCAGTTCCTCCTTATACGATATTTAGTCTTTACTTCTTTAGCTGTTTCAATGTGCATATAAAGCAATATTCACTGAGCAGATATCCCACCTGATGGGTGAGTGTCCTGAGCAGTGGGCTAGAGCAGCAGCATCTCTCTCAATAAAGGTTAAAGTGTTTTATGCAATCTATATGTACAATGTAATGCTATCAGAAGAAAGTGAGTGTGCCCCCCGCCATCTGAACAGAAGATAAACTGGTGTTCAGGTTATCCTGGATGGCCAAATGTGCAAGTACCAAATTAATCTTTGTCTCAGAGAACAGACTTTAACATGTTCTTCTGCTTCACAACAGACCATCCTAACTGCTATCTCCAGTACCATTGCAATAGAGTAAATATTTTTGCATTCACAGTAAAACCAAACAGCAGCAGGGAAAAAAAAAAAGTGAGAAAACATGCTGAAATATTCTATAATAACTTACTCTATGAAGTAAGTCATATACAGGAGTCTCTCTACATATAGGACATGTAACAAAAATAAGTTGAGCTTCTCAGGCAAAGAGGAAACAAGGGAGAGAGTGGTTAATATCTTCCAGACCTCCTTGTTGGTTATGTTTTCATAGTACATTCCAGTGTTGTACCAAGGTATTTGAATTACTTTTCAGTAAAACAACTTTGGTATTGCAGGAGGAATAATATGTTACTGCGGCACTGCTTCCAGCCTAATGCAATTTGTTTCCCAACAGCCAGGGCTCTGTGCACTGAGCTGCTGGTGACACAGCTCCGATGAGACCTCAGGTAGCTCCCATACCTCCCCACAACACTCTGCTATGCTACCTAGATGTTACCAGGAAGGAGCCTTCCAAACTGACAGCTTAGCATATATATGTGCAGATATAGTTAGTCAGTAGGGAACCAAACTGGTACGACATGAAAAAGTGACCCAGGTTTTATGAACTCTTCCTGAGAAGTGAAGCATTGCTTGCAAGAGTAGCAAAGATGTAAGGGAGTAGTAGTTAGAATGACTACTGCTCTCTGTGACTTCCCATTCAGGAAATTATATGTTGTCAGTGATGGAGGGACAAGGTGGGAGGCGGCAGCAGCTGGAGCTGTATTTTCTCAGCTGTGCATCTGACAGCTGTGACTGGATACAGTTCAGAGACAGAAAGCATATGCTGTCATTCAGGGCTTTTAACATGAGTATTTTTTACTGGGTTCATTATCTCTTTACAAAATGAAAAAGGATGGCTAGAAATGCCCTAACCACAATGAAATATGGGTCACACAGAGTCCAGAGTTACAGAGTGCCATCAATGCTGGCTGACTCCTCTGCATTGTCACTTGTCTTATTCATTCACACCTGGGGCAACAGGTAGTGCCCTATGCCTTGTCACACAGTCTCCATCAGAGGTGAAGAAGCCTCGTTCCACAAATTCAACTAGGTGTGTCTATGAAAAAGTTATGTGTTAATTAGTACCATAGATGTTACCAGTGAACCACTGGGCTTTCTCTATAAAGTTGTATACATTTAAGTAGAGCTAGTTACTGATCATTCTTTTTCCATGTATTAGAAAACCCTGCTAACAGAGTCCATTAATATTGTCTCATATAATATTCATTACAGTTGCAACCTTCCTACCTTCTGAATGCTGTTAATGCATCTAGGAACATTTTAGGAAACTGCATGTTGTAAATATATATTCCATATTTTTGTAATTGAATTCATAGATCAAATATTACATTTTTAATTTTAGATTTAAATTTTTTAGTCACATGAATTAATTTTTAGCTAAGCCTGTGTGTTATGATTTAATTGCTTTACAACATCGATAAGAGGCAATCATGACCTATATCAATAAAATTTCAAGTAATAATTAAATTGCAATGCCTGTTAATTTTCTAAGAAATTGCCTTAGTTTCTTTACCAAGATGAGTTTGTGACATTAGAAGCAAAAAAAGGAATTAATGTAATGTAATTTTCCTAAGAATTCAAAAGACTGAATTGGAACTGAAGGCTGATGTGAAACTTCGACCTTTTTGACATTTATTTGAATTAAGTCCATAAAACCATCAACTATCTGCCAACAACATTTTCACATTTCAGGCAACAGCTTCTTCTACAATTTTCAGAGAGGGCTAGAGAAGTAAGATTTTTTTCTTTTTCAATTATAGTAATGATAGGAAATGAATCACCTCCCCCCAAAGTGATGGGGTCTGAAGAGAGAAATACAGGAGAGTTACCCCTAGGGTTTTAAAAAGGAGAACTTATTTGGCAACCGAAATTTTCAGTTAATAGTTAATCACTTCATCCTTATTCTTGTTGTAAATCAAATAAATATTTCTAATTTGAATATTTCTATAGAAGCTAAGGACAAACTTGCTCAGTGGTACAGGGATATTTTGAATACAGAACCACACTCAGAACTGTATGCAGTCCATAGCTTGGAAACAGTTTTGGTTCAGGAAACCATCTCAATCTTTTTTCTCCACGATGTCCGTATCACCTCACCACAACAAAGGAGAAAGATTATATATTTGGGTAAGAAAATCTATCTGATAAATAATTTCTGAGATGAGGGAGAAACCATGTGTGAAAGAAAGGTTTTCAAACCCACAGTATTTAACCAGTAGACTGCTAATCAATGCAAAACATTTTTCATAAGTATGAAAACACTGGGATGCAAACATATTTCCTCCCTAATCTGGTTATTTTCTCAAACATAGTCTATTATTCAGTTTTGTTGCTCTAGAGCAAATAATTTCCTTTCAGTGAGAATTTTGGGCTTATCTAGCATATAAACCCAAGACATCTTAGGTTAAACCCAATCAACTTGGTAACCAAAGTAATTCTGAAAGTATTCGAATTCAGTACCTGGAGTCAGATACCAAAATACACATTTAGTTGTATCTTTTGCCACGGAAGGTTTCTTCATAATACTCATACAGTACTATACGACAAAGATAAAAATTAATCTCTGGGGTAGCAATAAAATCTTATTTTATATTATGATAGCACCTCTATTAAACATAGGACAGAAACATCCCTAGAGGTGGCACTGCAAACCACAGTTTCTGGTTTTACACAAAGTTATATATAGCAATTAAAATACTATGCTCAAGATAAAATAAAAACTGTGCTACTTCTGGAATGCAAATTCATATTATTCAGCCTCATCTTCCTTTCTAAGCTCTTACTGTTCTGTTATACAACAGATGTGTCAAGCAAATAATTAAAAAAGTGTTTTTGCATGATACATTCTGAGCTCTGCTTTTTCAAATGAGTGGCCTGCACTGCAATTTGATAGTACACGGCAAGGACAACATCATAATTCTGAACTGAAATTAACATATTTGGAATCATAAAAGTGAATTTGGATCACTTAACAAAGAGTATGTATTTGTTATTGATTTAATTTTAATTATTTAGCTTCTATCTGTGCAATCTTTTCTCTACCAATACTAAAATCTAATATTCTAAAATGAATAAAGCTATAATCTTTTCTAAGTGATTAATAAGCGAAAAGAAAGTTGCCAGAAGAATGTTGAAAGATCCTAAATGTGAGTGGTATAACAATGAATGCTAATGGTTACTGATGGGTAATAGCAGATGTGTGAGGCTTGCCATAATGTTTATGATTCAGATTCAAGTATTTAAAATCTTGCTTCTCTTTTTCTTTTGCTGCTTTAAGGATCTAAATTAAAATCAGTGCAGCTGATCTTGTTTAGAAGATTGGTTACCTGATAAATAAAAATACGTAAATGTCTAACAATATCTAAATTATACCATTTGCACTTGCATTTTTAGATTTGTGCCTGGATAATTGTGTGTATGGGAAATGGGGGTCAGAAATCCAGGTCCACTATACTACGCTTGCAGGACTCTCCCTAGAAGGAGCTTATTCCAAGCTGTAGCTACAATGGGACAGTATTACAAACCTGAGAATACTGGTATCAAATATTATCACTACACAGGGAAATTGTTTCCAGTGTCAAAAATCTTTTTACAAAACAAGTTGACATATTTTTACATACAGAACAATGGAAGGGTCAGTGTAGATTTGCTTACCTGTGGTTGACCTGATAGTTGAGGTGATGTTGGAAGATGCCATCGCAGGTATACATTCATCATCTTGGGAATAGCCTGCCTGAATGGCACGCAAGTAACTGTGGCTTCTTGTTCGGAAACATCCAGGGAGGTCAAGGGCATCCATTGCCTGAGCTTCAACTTCACTAAACACTGATTCACACACCGATTCAAATTGCCCATTAACCTCTGCTTCACTCATCTGAATAAACAACAACAATGCATTTGATTTTTGACTTGCTTTTTTGTGATCATCACGGCCTCAACATCTCAAATGGACACCTGTACATTGATGAAGAACTGTTTTAGCAAATAGTTAAAATGTAGTAATCCCTTCTGATCACATTCACATTTTTTTTAACTTACATCAGCTGTTTATATGTATATAGTAAGTATATTACACATGCCATACAATTAATTTTACATTTAATGTCTTTTGGCATATTCAGAGGATTGTAAATACATGATTTAATGGTAACTAGCAAGATCACTCTGCATTGATAGAAATTCATGTTCTGCCAGAATAGGAGAACAGAAATAATCTATACTAATATTAGCCCTCAAAAGGTAAGGGTGGATTGCCTGGGCTCCTAACTTGCCAGCAAAGTTCACTTATGTGGACATTTAGCCTGTGTGTCAGGTTGTTATCTTCCTCTCACTATAATCTCACTATCTCATACTTGAAGATGTGTAAGTTCAGAGGAGGTGACGCTTCTGAAAGGTTTGAGAAATATTACATCAAGAGTTGTGTCCCACGAAGCATGTGAAAGGATCTTTGAAATAATGGAGTGAAAAGTGGTCAGATGAGACAGTAATCTTGGACCATCTTTAGCTGAGAAGAGCCCTAAACCAAACTAATTTCCTGGTTAACTGGGTCAGCCATTCAACTACTGTGGAAAAAACAAGATGCAGCCACTACTTCTGTCTTTTCTTCAGCAGCATTATCTTAAGTCTGATACTTCTGCTATGAGGTGTGCTGAGAAGCCCTGCCTGTCAGAGCACCCTAGATGTGCCTACCTGTGTCTCCTCCAAGGATGTCCCTTTGGGGGATTTCAGCACCACTCTCCAGCTTCCTGCAGGGTTTGAGCAGCAGCCAGCATCTACCTGCTGACTCTGCCCTGCAGATTGGGCATGATGTAAAACTTTACATTTTTAGGTAGCTTTCATGATAAACAGGGTTTAGTCAGGCTGGTCAGGCTTAGGGAACCTCTAGGTAGGGAACTGTGTATTCCAGTTTTGATGATGAGTGCCTGAATTCTACCTACATCATTTTTAACAGGTTCTCTGAAGTCAGCCCTATCCACCTGTAAATATACCTGAATAATTCAAAATTATGTTTATCCAAAATCAGATAGGAAGTTGACACTGGACAGACAAATGCATGACCTCCTGTTATGTACTCCTGATAAAATTTTTTTTTAAAAAGAGAGTGCTAGAAATCAGAAACAGTATAAACACCAAGTTAAACTTGTTGAGTTACTAAACAGCATGTCCAGCTGATATTACTTTTTCTATACAGCTGCTAAGTGCATTTTTCTTTATTACTGTTTCTAGCACATTATTCATTATGGAAAGAGAGTGAGTGCAAATGTTTCAAATGTTTTAGGATTCTGATTAAGTAAATGGAATTTTCATATGGAACTTCTAATTATAATAACTGATATTTAAATTTCATATAAGACATTTTTTCTACTAAATCTCTTCTGAAAGGAATTACATTACCCTTCACTAAATTTGCTTCTAATAAAGTTAAGTAGACTAATGCAATCTCAAAAATATATATATAAAAAAAAATCTCACTCTGAAATATTTTGCGTACATCATTGATCAGGAAATTTATGGTAAATGTAGTCCATAAACACTTTAAATCCTAATCACTGCTTTCAAGCTAAGGTCACTGACAATAGAAAAATAAAAGTTTTAAAACTTAAATTAAAAATATAAACCATGGAACCCAGCATCTTTCTTTACCCTTGGCCAAGAGTGAAAAAGGAAGGATCTCACAAAAAAAAAGGCATTAAAAATACCACGAATCATACAAACTGCTATTATGTAGATGGGACAAGAAGATGATGGTTTCATGGAAAAAGAACAGGAAACAGCAAAGGTTCAAAACTTGTTATTTTAATGCATTTACTTTGTGTAGTATCTATTGCATTTATTACTGGTCTGGAAGCAGCTGAGGTAGAAAGCATGTGGTTGACACAAAATGAACACAGGTTAGTGAAGACTGGAAAAGAAAGTAAGGAACTATATCCAGCAGGTTTAGTTAATCTGGCCAATTGAGCAATCTACCTGTAAATGAAATCTATTGTGGACATCTTTCCAGGTAATGCACATTTGAATGAAGAATTTTAACCACTGCTGAAACCAATTAGTCATTATGGACAGTTCAGTGAACACCTCCGTGCATAAGTATGGTCAAAGAGGCAGAATTGTTCTATATTATAGCATTGTTAGGTGACAGCCAACAGCTCTTGCTTTGAATGCAGAATCTAATTCTCGTAAAACTTTCTCAAAACCAGAGTGTAATAAAAATAGAAAATAACCAAACCAGGATAATGAACACCAAGGCATGAGAATGATGAGGACAGGTTTCAGAAGGGAGCTATGAAAAATAATGAAAGGTTTGGAAAATGACTGACTGTCTGTTTCTAATTCTGATGCGTGCTATACAAGATTATACTTAGGTTTATCCCACGTAAATTAAAGAATTTGACTGAAGGGCATTAGTCAGGCGACTAGTGCCTTCCAACTCTCAGTGGAGATTGACAAGTATTTCCAGAAGGCTCTAAGCCCATTTGGGATGTGCATTGTCCTGGAAGAAACTCTTTCAATCCATTAATTACAGAGGAAGCTTTAGTTGTTGCCTCAGTTAAAAGCCTCAAGTTAGATGAGTTGAATCCAGGCCTGAATAGCCATGCAATGCAAATTGAATGTGGATGAATATAAAATTTCTTTAAAAAGATTTTTTTCACTAACCATTGTGCATAATTAGCTACTATACCCTTAGGTGTCTCACTAAATGGTCAAAGAAAAATAAAGTAACATGTGTCTGACAAGAGGTCAGGGCCCACCTGTCATGAAGCAACAGAGGGAAGAAATGTCAGGATCAATGAACATTAGAAACTTTGGAAATTTTATGTAAGTCCTCTGCTAAACAGAACATGTGCATACTTCATAAGGCTGCTCGCACTTCAGGCCTGATTCAGGTCTCACTTCAACATGAATTAGTACTAACTAAGCAACATAAAAACATCAGGGTGGAAAAACGTCTCTTTTCAGAAGTCCCCATACATCGAAAAATTGATGGGACTTATTCTCTCACCCAAGAAGAGTGAAGGATTGAGTTTATAGATGAATCACTGCTCCTTTGGAGCATAATTATTTCAATCTATATCTTAATCTGGCAACCCACATGTAGTGAAATCAGAGTAGATATTTTCAGAGGATGAGTATTGTAGGAGTGTGCCCCTTACGCTCAGTCTGAATCTTCTTAACATTTAAATATTTAATATAGACGAAAAATGAAAATACCAGTATTAATATTTTTAATGAAAAATAGATGGAAAATATTATGCGTGACAGTGTCCCTTTGCTTCTAGCAATCAGTATTTTTCTTGAAATTCTGAACAAGAATTACATTCCTTAGAATGTAAATTCCTTAGAATGTAATTAATTACTTTGACAATTCACATCTTCAGTTTGATATTAATTAAAAAAAAAACCCTAAAACCATTCACTAGTAACAACTCTCGCATCTGTGATTAACCTATAAGAAAAGTTATAACAAGAATTTCCCACCTGACTAACACAGCTGGCCTGACTGAGCGTGCTCACTGCTCTCATATAGCTCTGATTCCTTGAGCGAAACTTTGGGGAATTGTAGTTTGCAGAGGGATCCAGGTTGTGACCCCCAGGCACGTCACTTGCAGTTTGAAGGTAGCTCTGACTACAAAGGAAAGAGGAAGAAAAAAGGAAAGGGTGTAAAACTACAGATGGAATCAATTAGGACACTAAAACCAGTAATTTTTATGAGACTCACAAATCCATTCCCCAGGGTCCAGATGTCTCTCTGTATAAAGTATCATAGATCTGTTGTAGTCACATGCCTTAGCACAAGCAGAGATTCTGTCTGCAGTTCTGCTACCTAGATGATATGAAACTTTAAGGCTTTACTGTATTTAAACATCATCAACCCTCCTGGCTATTAATGTTGAACTTTACTAAAAGAGAATGTCTAGGTCAACAGGAACAAGAATCAGAGCTAAAGCACAAACCAAAGTAACTAAAAATCTTTCTTCATAGATAAAATCTGCTACTTGTCATCTGGTTTTCATCAGGGTGCTAGGCATCAAGAGACCTTTTATCTTCAAAAGATTGGTATATTTTTACAAAAGATCAAAATATCCCATGTTCAGCTAAAAAAATAGATTAATAAAGTACTCAGAGCAACTGCACAAAGCTCTAGAAATGTTTTTCTTACAGCACTTCTCCCAGTTTGGAGGACTGGGACCTTAACACGACACTGAGGCCCTTACAGTATGCTTTCACTACAAGAGTAGGCTAGTCTTCATGTTTTATGTTAAATATATTGATTATTTATCATTCCAGGAAAATAAATAGGCGTAAGAAAATAACAATACTTAAAATACAAAATTTTAAAAAACATTAGTCACAAACAAGGTTTACCAGAGCTCTCAGAACCTCTGAAAATCAGATTTTAGAAGTCATGTGACACTTATCCCTAGACATCATTGCATAAATTAATATTTCAGAAAATGTTTGGTTTCATGTATTAAACAGGTAGTTCTTATATTCATTCCTTAAAGGTAGCTTTGACAAAAATGTAGTTTCTGGAAACAATAGATTGTGCCAGTTGAACATCTGTCAATATTGGCAATACAGTTATTTCAAACTGAGCTGGCAGAGTTACTCAGCCCAGCTGTGACTGTGACACATGCCCAGGCTGTTGGGAATTTTCCTGTGAAGGGGGAAGCTTCTTTCCTGGAAGGACCAGACCACTCAGTGAATGAGAAAGCCACAGGTTCAACTCCTGGTGCAAAATAAGGCACAAACCAGGATCTTGTTTCTTAGTCCATATTTATCAAAGATTGAGCGTGACCATAGGCTGGTGCTTGAGGAAGGACTCAGCCTTCCTCACTAAGTGGACACAACCTGAGTTTGGGCTGGATGCAATCCCTGAGGAGCACTTGGGAAGGAATCTCAGACCTTTTATCATGACTTTGATTAGAGCAGCAAATAGTGTTGAGGTCCATCTCCCTGGGTGTCCATGTCCTTTGATGTTGGACGTGTGATGACCCAGGATCTCTTCACAATCACCAGCTGCAAGAGCAGATAAGATTTACGGATCCACTCAGCCTTATACTTAGGATATCTGTTCCCAAGCACTTCCACATGTTCTCCCTGACTTGGCCATCTCAGGGTCAACATAAGCATAGCCTTGCTTCCTCAGAGCATCTGCCAATGATTTGGTTATCTGCTCCTCTAAAGCAGGCTGCCACCTTATTCTTAAATGAAAAAGGGCAGTTTTGTTTTCATCTTGGTGCAAGACAGGTATCTTTTTGAATTCTTAAGAAATTTCCCCTAAGAAAAAGCTTTTTTTTTTTTTTTCCTGTCTTTATTCAGTGCCTTCTATGGAATAGTAACCTTACAACAGAGGTAAACTATGTAGAAACTATGCTATAACTGCTAAAACCAAAATTAAAATGTATGAGATTGATGTAGGCATGTGATCTGAGGTTAATTAAGTCATTACAGTCAAAGTGATTTGCAGATTTCTGATAGTGGGTCTAATTTGGTTTTAGATGATGAAAACAAGAACTGTAGCAGGTTGGTTGTGGTTTTTTTTTTTTTGTTCCCATAGGTATGAAGACAAATAGATTAGGCGAAGGGGTGTAGAAATTCCCTATCTATATTTAGTTGCTGGATGTAACTAAACCTCCTTTCTTCTATAGGCAGCAGGCTGATAACTGTTACCTGCTTTGTGTCATTCTGATTCTTTGCATATGCTTTACTAAATCTGTCTGGTATTGTTAATTTAGTATTTTTCAAAACAGTTAAATGAGTCCCATCTGGACCTTCTAGATACTTGTTATCAGGTGGCAAAATCTGGGATTCTGAGTTCAGAAACAGTTTGTGAAAGACATTTGAGGTTTCTTCATTAAAACATGGGCCACATTAAGAAAAGATAGAAGCAATATAATTAAATTATAAATTATTAATTATTTTATAAACTACTTAAGAATTAATTAATTAAAACTGGCTCCTAATAACTGTCTCTTTTGCTAAGTAATGCTCAACAACCTAGTATTTCATTACGCACATAGTGGTTCCTTGTGAGTATTGGTATCATTAAATCAATCAACAATTTCTAGAGCAATAATTTCTTAGGGAAAGAAGTCAAGTATTCCCTGGTACTGCTAAGCAGCTGAGTTTTGATGGACAAATTTGGACATTTCCTGACAGTTAAATAATCTCTCATTTATCAGAGGACAGCAATTGATTCATAGGACTGTAGCAAAATAAATGTTACATGTATTAGGCTGTAAAAGCAATTTCACATCCATTAGATTAATGCTTGGAAATTTTCCCTATAAAAAGAAATTATTCTTTTTAATTTCTAAGATATACACGTGAAGTTATCTTCTAGGATATATGTGCCAATGTGTGTTAAAAAAGATGATCTTGCTATAAACTTGATCCAGAACCAAAATGCCATAGATCCAAAAGTTACAAGGGAAAGTTGCTCTCAAATGTCATTATCTTTTGCTCAAGGAACTTTCTTGCTTGTTAATACTACAAAACACATACCACATGTGACATTGATAAATGCTGGCTTCTTAATGACAACCACTCTATCTATAAACTTAGAAACAAAATTCTTGACCTTCATTTCCAAAATACCACAACTTTATCACTTTGATAAAATAAAATAATTAAATAAAATAATTTTTCTTTTATGCTTTGTAATAGATGATCAGCTGATCACTGAAGAAGGGCAAGACAAGCATGAGCACATGAGATGGTTTGACAGTTCATCTCCAGGACCACAAAACAAATACACACAGTAACATCAAGGAGGTGACTCTAAAGTTTGGTATTATGGAAAAGGTACCATGGAGGAAGAGGATGAGACTAATAGGAAAAATTAAATTGGTATGTCAGTTCTCCACATTTGCTTTTCCAAAGAGACAAAAATCACAGGAATGGATCCCCCTTGAGAAGATTTTTGCCCTCTGGTGTTGCTTTCCATTTTCTATTGACTTCAGAGGAAGTCCAGGGCAGCTAGGAAGAGATCTTGAATTTAAGAAGTACCTTAGCTGCAAGCAAGGCTGAAAGCCTAGAGAAACTTTTGGGTAATAGAAAGTCTCATGTAATGACCCTGCAGCTCTTGAGAACCTGTACTCTAAAAGCAAAGCTTTAGGACTCCCAGTGAAGATAGCTAAATTTGCAACAGCACTTTCAGCGCTCAGCAGACTGCCTGAGTGTATTCAGGGAGGACAAAATACTGTATTATAACCACATAAGGTGAGCTACAGCACAGCATGCTTATCTGGGACAGTATATCTGATAGCATATCCAATAGCATATCTGGGATAGCATGTCACCTTGATAGACAGTGAATGGGAAAGATTAGGCTGCATATTCCAACAGCAAAAAATAGAGTAAGGCAAAAGGCATCAGTTCAAAAAAGAATTCCTGTTTAGCAGTTTCTAAGAGTCTTGCATCACAGCCTCACTTTTCTTGCATTTCACTAGTCTGCAAAAACTCAGGCCTCTGTATCCAAACCTCATATGCCCTGCTGTTCCTATCTGAAAGCTGTCTCTTCCCCCAGCCCTAGAACTCTCATTTACCAAAACTCCGAAGTACAGCACTCCTTCATTCTTGACCAAATCAAACCCTAATCCTTACTGCTCCCTAGAATCTCCTTAATTCCCAGTTCACAGTTGTCCTGCTCAAGGTCTTCCAAAACATCATCACAGAAGCCAGCGTTGGGCCACTTATCCTAGTTCTGTTCTTTGCAGATTTCAAAAGTACCTTTAACACCTCTACCTGTCAGCGGAGTCCAGCTCACCCCTGCTACAGCCATCTAACCCTACCTCCTCACTGGGGACATTGGCTTCCACAAAAGCACAAACTCTTCTCCTGGACAAACTAATGGTTCTTGCCCACATCTCACCAAGTATGAAGTTAGGAACAGAATGGTGGAAAATAACTGCTGGAAAATACCTCTTACTTTAGCCCTACAAGCAACAAAATGTACTAAAAACCCAACCCAAACCAGGATGTTTTTTTACTCTTTTGACTCCAGAAAGCAAATTTCCTTCTGTGTTTTGCCATGTCTTGTAACTGTCCTTAATAGGACTCAGTACAGTAAAAATGTAGAACGAAGTTCAAGTAAATTAGATAATGTTTGCCAAGAGATTTCCAGAGACTGAAAAGCACAGCTAGATCTTCTTATCATTTCCCAATTATGCCATTGTAACAGAAGATTTGTAAAAATATTCAGAACATGTTTTAATGAAAGGAACAATCATGTAAACGAATCCAATAGCTACAGTCAAGCATTAACTAATGATAAGGGAAGGACTTATTTCCTCATTTTTAGACATCCATTACTTAGGCATCTATTTAGGCATCTATTTCCTCCTCTATTAACTGTGTAATTTTAAAAGCAGTAAGATGCTTACTTTACTTTATAAGCAGGAACTAGCTAAATTTGGGTTGGTGTTTTTTTGGTGTTTTTGTTTGGGTTTTTTTTTTTGTTTGTTTGTTTCCTGCATTGCATTTTTTATATAACTTTTGTAAAGTTTCTATGACCATGGGTAGTTTCTGAAGCAGCCCGACGACTTCAGCGTGGATTGCTGGGGGCTCTGAGGCATTCCCGCTGTGGTCTGTGCCATACAGCTTTCACCATTCACTTGAACT